GCTTCTGTCAACCCTAATTTGCTGCTTTCATTCCCTTCCCTAAACTGTTAGGTGGTACATCATGGTCCAGTTTTCTTTTCTAGCTATGAGTTTAGCGTTCTGTATATGAAGGGAGGCCTGCCTCTCATTCCGTCTTTGATCATGTAAACGTTTTCACCTCCTTGATTCATGTTTTGTAAAGCAGACTGGCTACACTCCTTCCTTGCAAGAGTTAATGTTTCAAGAGCTTGTCCAGCAATTCCTGCCTTGGGAAACACAAAAGTAAGTGCAATAACACAGCACCCCTGGATTCAGGTTTTGGGGGCAGGGGGATAGGGATTAATTCCTGCACTTGGATGTTAAAGCTTGTCCAAGAGGTTTGTCTTGGGGAGAGCATTGCTAGGGCCGACTGGTCTTGTTAAATGGTTGCTAAGGCCCTGGCATTGCGGCCCGACGGAGTGGCCCACAGTCACGGTCACGGAGGGAATTACACAGTCACAAAGAAATTGTTATTCTCCGTAATCTGCTCTTTGGAGAGTGACTGGGGGAGATGGGCCGGCCCCAGCATGCCGCCAGTGCTGTGATCACAGAAGCGTGTTGGCTCTGGCGAGCAGACAAGGCTCACCTTCTGATCTGGGGGACACCAGTGCTGCTGCTGCTAATCTGCTTTCTCAGCAATTTTGCTCCTCTGACACAACGGTGTTTACTTGTTTGAACATCTCCTGGGACTCTATTTCTCCTATTGTGTGGTCTTTATCCCCCCCACCCCCATGGGGCTTTAGCCCAGATTACAGATGGAATTAAGGCCTCTGGCTCGGGTGCCCCAGAAAGACTGATATGGGATCAAGGAGGAGAAAGTAACAAAATAACTGGAAGGAGGGGGAGGTGCTAGTTGCTTTAGGGAATGGAGGCTGCATTGTCCCACAAAGAGAGAGCCAGTGCAGTAGTCTGAAAAGCAGGCGTTCAGTGCTTTGTGTCCAGTTCTGATTAGACCGTTAGGGAGGAGGAGAAGGGCTGGGAACATGTGGGTCTTTAGTAGTTGAATGGGCTTCATTGGATGCTGTTGTCTGAGTGGTAGTGAGAACGGTGGCAGCCTAACTTTCTCTTGTGAGGGAGGTGGGGGCAGGGGGAAGGACAGATGGAGCATGTTCCTCTTCAATTAGGAACGTGTATTAATTAATCAGAGAGCCCTGTGCTAGACAGATCTAGTTGTAATGATGGATTTGTCAGAATATTCAGAATATCTTGTTCCTTGGATGCTTTTATGGCCATTTGGCTTTCACTGTCTCTTGATAAAGTTGTGTTCTCTTTTCTGTCAGTGCATGTACCCACTATATACTATAGGGTAGCCTGTTTATGGCACTTCTGTGATCCATTGTGAGCTTTTCAGTTCTGTCATTAATGTACTGCTCTTTGACATATTGTGCGGCAACTGCTCCAGAAAGCTTTTCAGATTGAGCTATAGCTGTGTGATTGGGCTTCTGTGTAAGGAGCCTTGGATGGTTCTTCTAGAGCAGGGGTCTCAAACTCAACTTACCTGGAGCTGCTGGAAGTAGTCTGGGTGAGGCTGGGCCGCATCAAGTATTCCATCACTGCGGTGGTGGTGGGCCGCTCATCCCACGGCCGGCCCGGGCGCCACCGGCACTTTGAAGGCCACAGCGCCCCTCCCCTGGCAATTGGCCCGCGGGCCACGATTTTGAGACCCCTGCTCTAGAGTGAACTGCTGGATGTTCTGTTTACATGATCCAAATGAACTCAGCCTGCCTTTCAGTTGTGGTGATATAGGGTAGGAAGAAGGTGGGAGCCCTTAATGAAATCTATAAGGTTCAGTCCCTGACTTTCCCAAGTGCTAGCCAAATCATTCCTCCCTGCCTCCTGCTCCTGCTCTCCACGCATTTTTTTTTCAGAGCTTTATTTTTTTGTGGGCAAATTTTATTTTATAACTTCACTAGTATAGATAAATGTGTGCCAGTTGTAAATACAATATGAGGCAAGCTTGTCTGTTTCAGAATTATAATTAATGTTTTTCAGGTGATTATCTATGGCAAGTATGTGATAGAATACATACGTTATTGAAGTGCATATATGTCTTGGTGTGTGATGGATTTTAGCATTTAATGACAGTGAACCTAAAGATGCCAAATAACTTAAGCAGAAGAGAGTTTTGAAATAGCAGAATGGTTGTCATCGTGTCATGTATGTTTCTTTGGTTGCCGAACTTAATTAGGTTGCCAACACTTTTCAGTACCTTGAATCTTTCCCCTTAAATTTGAACAATATGAGAGTGAAGTACATGCTATTGTCTTCAAATGTGTACAGGTATTCCAATAAAAAGTCTAATACAACATTTAAATCACAGTATATGCTTTAATTTTCCCTCTCAAATATTTCAGGCCAACTACAGTGGTACCTCAGATCACAAATGCCTCAGTTCATGACCAAATTGGGTCACGAACAGAAATTGCAGAAAAAAATTGCCTCAGGTCGTGAACTCCGCATAGGGTGACAGTTGCGATCGCAGCCACCTTCCCTGCACGAACACTCCAAACAATAAACTTCTCCCCACCCACCACAAGGGGAGCCATGAGGGCACGCTCACCTCCGTCAAGGCCTTTCTGGCTCCTTGCCGCCACCCCGCTTCTGAGCCAGAGGAAGGTCCCCTCCCAGGAGCTTGCCTGGCTCCGGGAGGGGGAGCAGGAGCGGGAGGCCGGAGAGGCGGGTGCAGGATGGCTACCCCAGCTAGGAGAGGGCCGCGAGGAGGGAGTAAGGACTGCTTTCCGCAGGCCGAGGCAAGGGGAGGTGAGGGACGGGGCTGCGGCCAGCCGAGCGGGGCACCTCCCACCCCTCCTCATCGCATCCGTCCCCTGGGCACAGCGAGGCGGCCGCGGCTTGGCCTGCAGCCGCGGGACGTGGCTCATACTGTGTTTTTGTGGGTTTTTTTTTAAAAATACATATTTATTTATTTAAAACTTTTATATGCCATCCTTTATGTATAACATAAAGTTATGGTAAAGAATGGATTAACCTTATTTACATTGAACCTCATGAGGAAATTTGACTTGGTTCACAACCAGTTCAGCTCGCGACCAGAATAGTGGAACAGATTAAGTTCATGAGTTGAGGTACCACTGTACTTGTGGTATATTGGGGGAAAATGGGGTACTTTATCTTAGCATTACTGTAAATAAAATAGACATGCAAAAATAGGTCTCTATAGGGTAGGGGCAAGCAACTTGTGACCCTCCATTTATTTTGACATATAGGTTCCGTTAACATTGGCAAGTGTAGCTAATGATGAGGGACAATAGTTATTGTAGACCAATATTACTAGAAGACTGCCAGTTGCTTGCCCTTGCTTTAGCACATGATAATTTTTTGATTAAGTTTTCCTATGTAAATTCACCTGATTTACATTAGAAAAAAATCCAGATTGAAATTATATTTAAAAAAGCAAGCCCTAAATTACTGCAAGCCGTAAAACAATAGCTAAGGAAGCTGACATGAAAGATAGAGGACTTCTTGAATCCCTTATAATTTGAGCACTAGAAAGATTTGGGTAGTTTTCTTTGGGCATGATTGTCTTGTAATTCAGAGAGTTAATAACTGATAAAGCAGTTGTGATAGCAGTGAAATTGTATTTGGATACTACTGTCTTTAGCACTATCATTACAAGCAATAAGTAAACTAAAAAAATATGGTCAATCTGTGCGGGCCAATGGGACATCTTGAACATGAAGCGTATGTGGAGTGTAGAGGCTGTACAACCTATATACCTCTGAGAAGTGTGAAAACAATAGAAGTGGGGAGTGCCTTGGAGAAATGGAGTGCTTCTAGAGTTGCTTTGCAGTATTGCAGGGAACATTCCTTAAAATACAGTGAGCTGTGGATTTTTTCCCAGGAAAAGCATTGCATCTTGAATCATTCACACTGGGGCAGAATCAGAAACCAAGGAATATCTTACACAGTTTACATAGGATCACACTCATTTTTGCCATGAGGTGGAGACTTGGTGAATCCTGGTTCACTGGAATGTGTGCTGTGGAGATGCAGTTGTTTCTAAATACTATCTATGTTCATACTTAATGCTTTCAGTTATACAGGTGAAATTTTTATTCATATGCAGAAATAATGTAATGGGAGAAACTGTTCTAGGGATTAAGCTGTAGAATGTACCTCACGGTTGTGGCTTGTAGACTTCCTGAGGAAGTTGCTTTTTGATTTTGAACTCTTGCATTTATAATTCATCAGTGACTTTCCAGCTATGAGGCAGGATTGCAGTAACTGAATGGTTCTTTCCTTGCTCTGGTGGTATCTGAAGGCAAGACAAGAATTGCTTAGGACAGTAAGCACAAGGTCACAACATATACTGTTCCAGAAGAAGCTCAGTCGTTGTTAGAGCGTGCAGTTTTTTCACTGTATCAAGTACATGTTTCTTCAATTTACCAGGAAAATCTTTCACATGATCCTTGTTTTTGAGAGCTACATTCTTTTACAAATATTATTTTCACTCTCTGGCAGGGGTTATATGGTTTACATAGCAACAGAATGCTCAGAAAAAACTCTTTAAGTACCCCAGAGAGGGAGTTGTACTCTTGCTGTTGAGAAATTATGGCAAGAACTGCTACATAATGATACCCAATGTGGTATCTACAAGTTCTTATGCAAGATGGCAAAAATACCTAGTGTGTTATTTACATTAATTTCTAGGTTTGCTACTTACCTCTGCTCTCTGCTTTACAGAGGATACATTAGCTCAGATTAGTGCTCAAGGCAGAACTGAGTACTGGCTTGTATACTTTAAAAGGGAAAGCAACTGTTACTTATTAGCCCTAATATGCTTTGAGGCAAGTGTGATTTTTTAAAAATTGGACACAATTAATATGCACATGGTTGGTCTTTAGCATTTTTATTTCACTTACACTTACAGACAAGCTTTATGGAAACAAAACTCTAATGTGATACTATGTGGTGTATAGATATTCAGTACCATCATTTAGTACCTTGTTGGGTCCCATTTTCAGTGGACAGCTGGTCACCTGCCTTGGAACAGACTTCCACCGAGGAGCTGGAGTTTTGGATGTTTTCTATGAAACACCTTCCACTTTGCTGTCTTGTGGGTATGATACTTACATCCGCTACTGGGACTTAAGGACAAGCACAAGGTTAGTGACTTGGTTTGTCAATCATGAAATAAGGACTGGTGAACCAGGATCTAGCGAAGAATACTCTAAATTTCTTACTTATATTATCCCCTACCACCCACTAGGGAATGTGTGAAGAAATGGGAAGAACCACATGACAGTGCCCTGTACTGCATTCGAAGCAATGGAAATCACATGATTGCTAGTGGCTCTTCTTACTATGGTGTGGTCCGTCTTTGGGATAAACGGCAAACTAGATGCTTGCAGGTGAGACCATCACTGTTTTCTCAGAAGCTGGCTGGAAGTGAACTATACTGAGTTGCCCCACAGGGAATAATGGGTGTGGGGATGTGTGTTGTTTCTGTTCATTCTTGATTATGTCATTTAAAGAGTGACAGTTAAGACTGTTGGGCTTGGACAGGAGAGATGCAAGCTTAAATACCTACTTTTACTCATGAAGCTTAGTATTGGGCAAGTTCTAGCTGATTAACCAACCTGAGAAGGTTGCTACTTACTATCAGTTCTAGAATAGGGAATTCTCCCTCTGCTTTCCTGAGATCAAACAGATAGTTATATCAAATACTTGTCTATATGGATTTGCTATGAAAGCTTTAGGTTCAGTTCAGTTCTAAGACATCACAGCTATATTTGTGCAGTAGCAATTTCTCAAGCTATCTTGTTCAGTGCCTTCTGTCAGTTTTCTTATCCTTTTGTTATGATGGTTGATGCAGGTTTACAAAGCTGAGTGGAATCCTGTAGATGCTGTATGACTATGATTTACTCCCTGGCTCTTACTGTTCAAGGCTGTAAATCTCTTATCTAGAAGAATTTTTCTTATTACCTTTGCAGAGCTTCTTCCTGTCCTCACCCATCAGCAGCCCTGTGTATTGCCTGCGTTTTAGTACCACCCATCTTTATGCCACCCTAGCATCTGCACTGTATGCCCTTGATTTCACCACCTCCTGACAGATTGAACTTCAAGCAAAATACCCAGCTCAGGGAGAACCAAGAAGAAATCGTGTCCTTGAGGCAACAAGTCTGGAAGTCACTCTAAGGACTAAGGAGGACCTCATGCAGAAGAGTTCACCTGCCTTCTGATATTAATAGAAGGAAATATGTCCTTCAAACTCTTTTATCTTGCACATTTTGGGGCTTGATGTTGCCTTTTCTATTTCTGTGAAGGCATTCTTCAGTAATCCTGAGTCTGTGTGCATTTGGGTGGGTGTGGGAGGGCATCAGCATAGATCTCGTTTTGACCTCTACAAGTTGCAGGTCCAACTGTACTTACATGAGTTGAAATTAGTTTAGGCAGAAGTGACTGTACTCTAAGCGGTGAAGTGGAGAAATAGCTTTTTACTCCTGCTTTACTGACACTCATCACTGCCTATTTAATGAATCACTGCCTCTTATAGCACTGGGCTTTACGGGCTTTAGCTGGCTTTATGTAAATTGTACCAAATCTACTACTGCCATCCAGCAGCATACAAAGAGTGATTTATTAGAGTAGTGCTCTCAGGTCAATGTGCTGAATAAATTGTCAAAGTGGAATGCAAGAAATCTGTGATAAGGGGTTTCTTTGATTTGAAATGCAATTACTGACTATTGGCAGTATATCTGAATAGATGCCTATGAACAAATACCATGATGTACTTGCCAATAAATCAGCTATTCCATCTACAAATGTGACATTCTAGCAACCATTGAGATATATGGTTTATATGAGCTGGAAAAATATACTTATGACATACAGTACAAGCTGAGCATGGTATTCACTACCTAAAAGTAGCCTTAAAGTAACTAATTGATGATTTCTCTTCCTAATATTCTCTGTAACATCCATTCCCAGATATTTCTAAGGAAAGGTGTGACAGCACAGGGCACTGGCTAAGTATCTTAACATGTTAGCCATTACCACCAAGCACTTGTATTTGTGATGGATTCCCAAAGCATTCTACTAACCAGCTCTTGCCTTTCATAAACATAGTTATTTTTAAGTCATTACTCACTCTAATAGCAAACACAACTGGTGAGTATTAACAGCATTATAGCAAAACTTGGCAGGGGGAGGTATCACCATACTCAGGAGATCCCAAAGTTTGCAGAACTACAAAGAAAATATTAGGGCAAAAACTATAGGGCAAAAACTTCCCAGAAACTTAATAGCTGCAGAACATTGGATCTTTCTGGGGAAGAAAGTGCTAAAAATGTTGGGGTTGAGGAATGGAATAGACAATAGGATCTTAGAAGACAGTGTGGCTCACTGACACCCAGAAAAGCAGCATTCTAAATTGTAAAATTATCTGGATTATTCCATTTGAAATTATGTATAGCAGTGAGTTGCATGCAAAGTAAGAAAAAGCTATGCTAACTGGAAAGCACCAAGATATATAAAACTTGATTTTTGGACACTGTAGTGTCCAGCGGTTTAAAGGCAGGCATGCAAGTTTTTCTTGTTCACATCTAGCCTGTGTTTTGGGTATGTCCATATTTCTTCAATACTCCTAGCTGCTACATGCATATGAAGTGGTGTAGTTGAAATGGGGGGATCATGTTTTTAGTCAAATGATAGAACAGGTACATAGTTAGAAGGACTGGATATTCTTTGATGTCTGTGGGATTGAAAAAAAGTAATAAAGAAAATATGTTTTATAACCTAAGGCAACACTAAAATTGTGGTGCAAATGATGGTAAAAGAAAGGCCTCAATGTATATTTTTTAAAATCCTTCATGCTTTGTTTGAAACAGGAGGGTGGGTTTGCAGTTTTGGGGAAAACCAAGAAAAAAATTATGAGCAGGTGATAGAAGCTGGGTTCATGAAAGATGGCAATCCATATCCATGATAGAATGTGGATTGCTGTTGGGCTATGGGTTGCTGTATCACTAACAACCAGTGATTGGTGAACCACAAAAAATGGAAAAACAGACAGTTTGTTGTTGGGTTGTGAACTATGCCCCATTCATAGTTAAATAATTCTTTATCAGCATGGGTGAATTCACAGAACACAATCTACAGTTCACATTCAGTCTATGCTCAGCCTTGAGCATGGGATCTCACATAGTGTGGACACAGCCACCACATTTAAGTCAACTTAGGAAATTCAAAGATAATTCCGGAGATTTTAAGATGCTGAATCAGGTTTTTATTTGGCTTGTGTGTTTGCCTTGTCACCAATTCAAAATACTCTGGTGTTCAGAAGGATGTAATTGTGGTTCATCATCTTTCTGTGAGTTACCTCTTTCCCTCAGATTTTTCAAGATAAGAAACCTCAAGCAAGTCTCAAGACCCTTTTCAGACACTTGAAAGTAATTCAGATATAGTGGTGTTTGAGTATGTTAAAGGTGCTTTTGCTTATGGAGAAGTATATAAGTCATATTTACAAAGGCCTCAACTCATACGAGGCTGGTGCTTTGCACTTGGGGTGAATGTGAAAGTACTCCTGCCTGGATATATATATTTCTTTCTCACACAAATTAACAATAAATTCACTGGATTTATTTGTTAAAGTAACAAAATATGTACAAACAAGATTTTAGTCTACAATTGCTGGCTATTGTGTCTTACACTCTCCATCTCCATTATTTGCTGCCGTGATCTTCTTTAGCTCCTTCTGCAGCTCTTCCTCTGCAGTCAAAATCTCAATGGGCTTCAGATACTATAGAGAAGAAAATTATCTAAACACACTCCCACAAAAACAGAGCTGCTATAATACATAACTTTCAAGAGGCCACTAAGCAAAATAAAAAGCATAGACAAACCCACTGGACTGCCCTGATATTCTCACATTGTCTTTTGAGCTGCCTAAGATTTAATGAAGCACATGATTGTGTATCAAAACATTTCTATCTGCTAGTTTTGGATTTTTTCTCAAGTTTTAACCCCAGTTAGACCTGCTGGGCTTTACTGTATTCCATGGCAAACAATGCACTTAACTGTTACAATAACAGTTGTAAGATTCATTGTATTCCTCCCTCATGTAGTCTAATAGTCTGAATTTCTATACTGAGCCACAGCTTGAGAAAAGACTTGAAATTAAAGAGGTGGATTCTGTTGACAAAGTGAAATGTATGCAATCTATAGAGTTCTATCACTAAAATTCTGAAGCAGAAATAACTATTTTTTTCTGCTAGGCCCCAAGATCCTTATTAATTAAGTTAATTAATAACTTTTAGTGTTAGGCATGGAACTGCTTTGTTGTTTGTGTATTTTTCCTGTTTTTACAAAATCAGTAATGCCAAAAGGCAGCTGGGAAAAATAATGAATCAATGCTGATCAGTCAGTCTTATGAGTACCTACCGTGATGATCAATGTGTTGTTTGCATGAGTGAAGCTCAGAGAAGTGCTCTCCATGGACAACTGGAATCTGTCAAGGTCAGGAATGGAGAACTTCTTATAATATCTGAAGGCAAGCATGAGAGAAGGTGTGAAGACCATTTTTCCAGTAATTTCCTTTATTAATAAGAGTGCTCATTCATAAAAAATTAAATCTTGAGAATCTCCCCATGTATACACCTTTAAATTAAATATACAGTGTTGTGTCTATATATTCTGAGATAACAGTCAACAGTGGTTTCAAGGCTTAGATGCTGAAAGCTTTCCCAAAGGGTAGCAAGATTTCATTGATTAAATACACACACCCTCTAATAGAATTAAGGAATGGCCCTGTTTAACTGGGTAGCAGATGGTAAACTTTTTATTTTTCATCCCCTCAAGATGAAGCCTGCTGTAACAGTGTCCATCATCTAAAAATGAAGCAGGGTTTTTTTCTTCAGTATTTCTAACACACACACTTACTTTATACTCATAAATCAACTAAGAGCCATGCTACCAATTGACATTACATTTCTTAATTGGATGATTACTGTACTTAATAACCAAGAATGCAGGGTGCATCTTTTGGCTTGGAAGGGGGAAAAACAGAACCTAAACAGTTTGAATGCAAGCTTAGTGTTGATCACCATGAACTGTCAGCTTGACCACATTGTATTGTTTCATACATCTTCCATTATATTGATCAGACACTTCACTGAATGGTCCATTTTCTGCCAGCCACAACTTAACCAAGTTAGAAGAACATTAGTCTTATTCCTCCACCACTGCTAGCATTGCTGCCATTTAGCACCTTTGTAACGCAGAACTCTTCCCTTGTGAAATGCTCCCCATCTGTGTTTCGAATACTCCAAATGCAACAGGAGAATTTATTTCCTGATGTCAGACCAATGAGCAGTCCTCCTCCATTAAGCTAGCTTTGCTTGGAGGTTGACTGCTTGGAATTGCTGCTTCACAAAACATGAACCCTTTATTCTGCAAGCCTTCACGGAAAAACATACACAAAGGCTAACCAGGCCTGGCTGCTTTGCTTGCTCAAGAGGAATGTTACCCCAGGGCTCAGAGCCTTCTGCCTGTATTTGGGAAAGGTGGCAGACATGGATAATAATGGGGGTGTCAAAGGTTAAACAGCAAAGATTAGATGAACACAAAGACATGTTAAGGAAGTGTTAACTTCTTACTGATTGAGACAATAAAAAAGCGGGCTCCAAAAGAAGCCCAGTGTTTCAAAGAGCCTAGGGATCCCTCACAAGGAACACCAACTTTGTCCCCCACCCCACCCTTCCCCAAGGCTGAGACAGTGGGAAAAATACCTGGAGTCTGGTCTCCAATTGAAATCTCTGAAAGATCAAAGGAAAACAGATCTGCTGCTTTGCCTTCTTTCCAGTGTAACAACTGCTACCTTGCCCTGCCATAATTGAATCTGCTGTGGCCAAGGAGGCTTTGCCTGTTTGTTTGGAAAGTTTGCTTTAATGGATTTGTTTTACAGCAAGAGGGTTGGCGCAAATCCCACTTGAGCAGCCTTTTGCTGTGGCTGGAGGGGATAACAATGAATGAGCGGGAGCGGGTGGCAATATTTTTAAGGTCCCATGGGATAGCTCTGTGTTCTGGTAGGGCTCCCTTGCCTTTAACAGCTGTGTAGCAGCCATTCAGTTCATTCAGCTTTCTCCCTTGTTGCATTCCCATACCAGGAAAAGTTTCATCTGATGAATTTTTGCTGTCATTAAAGGGATTATGGCATCACCTCCCTTAAAACTCCACCAAAGTGCAGGCAAGAAACCATTATTAACCAAGGCTAAAAGAACTGGCATGGAGACCTGATATCTAGCCTAAACAAATTCCATGTATCAATAAAAATACTTCCAGTAGAATAATTTTATGGAACACATGCACACACTTGCAGCACTATGCCATAATCTGAACTCAAGTGATACTTCCCTCTCCCATCCAATTGCTTTTCAGGGACTGTCGCAGTAGCACCAATAAACAACAAAGTCAAGGTATCCAGTAAAAATAGAAATATTTGACTTTTAAATAAAGGAAACTCTGGTCATTTGTAACTTTGGAAGCTTTTGAAAAAGAAAGGCCTTCACCTGTATTCCAAAAATTACCTTATATGAAGGGAACAAGTTTGCAAGCTGGCAGGCATTGCTGGAGAGGAAATTCTTAACAAGGGCAGTATCAGAAGTGAAGGGGGTACTACAGAAGTGAGGCAATTTTCATCTGAAGGTTGCATTATTTGGAGTGGGCCCTTTCCTGAAGATCTCAAACTACAGAGGCAAGGAGATGCTCCTTAAAAGTGATAACTTTTAAGTTCAAGGCACAGGTGTTGAATCAAGTCTTCCTTATCTCTCCCACCCTGCCTTGATGACTTGGGGGACATTCAGTCATTTTAAGATACTTCTAATGTGTGTCTTTACCTCACTTTTCTGTTACTGGTTATGTGTTTTTGTGTCAACTATTGTTGTTTCTAAGGCTCAGCATTGTTTCTAAGGTCCAGATTTCATTTCCTAATATAAGAACATTAGAATACCCTTCCAGAATCAGAAAGAATGATCAGTCCAGCACAGCCAAAAGATCAGTTCCAAAAGTGGCTGACCAGAACATATGCATATGGGAGGCTTGTTTGTTTTGGTAAAAGAGAATACTGTTTTTAAGTGAATGAGATCTAGTATAGAAGTGTTCAGCCACATTTTGGATTTTGAGAGCACAATGCAAAGCAATGTCAGATCTATTCTTCCTCAGGTACATGAAGAAACCTGTTCTTGATAAGGCTGCAATGAAATTTTCAAAAGAAGCCTATGCACGTGAAAACTTGTAGTGTGCACTGTACATGTCAAGGGTACAAAGTGCAGCACAGATATACCTGCAAGATTAAAATAAACAATTGGAATAGTTATCAGCAAGGAAAGGACAAAGCAAGGCAAACATATGTCCTGTCATCTTCTGCAAGCTTCAAGCTTTCCTACATTTCTGTTGAAACTATACAATACTCTCTTTACAAAGCTTGCCCACAGTCTCTGGAGAAGTTACTGACTCACAAAACTATCCTACTGCATTATGTTTTTGAAGGATAGCGTTACCAATACACAGTTCTACCACATTATAGTTGAGATTGTCAGTGCTCCCTTCCAGATGCATGACAAAGTAGATCTGATTCTTTGCAGGCAGATTCCATGCACAGACATGAAAGCATGGAAAAAACAAATAAGTGTGTGTAGGGGGGAGAAAAATAATATCTGCCCCATTCCCCTCACTTGAAGTTCTGGGGAAAAGGGATTTAAAATACATATTTTGGTGTCCTGTTCCTCACAACCACATTTTTCTTGCTTTTCCAAGGCCTTCACATGTTTGCTTGTGTCATAAGAAATAAATCCACCCAAAGCTAGACCAGTGTCCTGTTACCGGCACTGGTGTGAAAGAAACAGTCCTCCCTTTGTTCTTAGCTTACTGGAAGCTCCTCATTACTTTAATAACATTCCTGGTATGTGCTTTTGAATACAGAGGTTCTGTTTAGATATCATATCCAATAGCTGCTGTTAGACCTATCCTCCATAAATTTCTGTAATATTCTTTGAAACTAATCCAATGACCGCCAACCCATTTGTGGCAACAGATTCCACAAATTATTCATGTGTTATGTGAAGAAGTAATCCTGAAATCTATTGTCCATCAATTTTATTGGGTGACCATGAACTGCAGTGTTGTGGGACCAACTATGAGCTTTTGCAGAAAGCAGAAGGGATTCAAGAGATGTTCAAACCAACATATGTTTGAGCATCTCTCTACCTATCAAGAAGAGAACGCTGTGTAGCAGGACCAGATTCTGTACTTGCCAATTACATTCAGATAGCAAGAATACTAAGTGGAAGGATCCACAGGGTTAATGTAGTCTGGCTTTCATTGTGAAGCACTTGACAAGTCCTGACCATATCCTGAGTCCTTTACTGTCACTGATTAATAGGACTCTCTGCCCTCAGAAGAACTTTAGCTTGCCTTAACCTAAATCCCCCCCAGCCTAAAAAAGAGCAGCTGTTTGCCAACAGCACCACCTATAGATAATGATCAAGGATTGCGAAAAAATAGATTCAGATTTGGAGCCACAAATAAAAATTAAATGCTACTTGTTCCACAGCAGTGTATTTCTCTCAATTTCTTGTCCATCAAAAACTGGGAGTTGGGAATGGATTTGCTTCAGTTTGTAACTTGATACTCTCAACCAGAAAGGAGAGAATTGTTAGAATTTTGCAATAAGATGTGTACACAATTACCTCCTGAATCTAGGACTTAGATCTGAGTTTGCAAACTGCACTAACTTCACTGAACCATAACTGAACTTTATGTTTACTTGACTATTATTATTTCATATGGCACAGCAGAATACAGCATCATTGCATAAAAATTCACAAACCAATATATAATGTATATGTTAGGTTTACTGACTTCTTATTTGTCGTGCGCACCACACAGCAGCGCTGATCCTTCTCCACTGAAACACTATAAACATTCTTCGGATATGGTAGGTTCCGGATCCGCCACTGGAAACTTCTTTTGGTGTCTTTTCGCGTAAAGATAGGCTAGAGAAAGGAAGCATGTCAATAAGCCTGGTGAAAAGATAGCAATTATATTTAACTTTTTTTTTTGCAGAGGCACAAGTCAGGATTCCTGGCTTTGAACATTCAGGTGTTTGATTCAAGTCACACAAGCTGGAATCTCTCTAGGTTGAGCTCTTTCTCATGTGCTAATATTTCTTCATATTTATCATGAATTATATATGTGGGAATGTTCCAAGTCTTTGCTTTTTTATTTATTTAATTTCAAGAATTCTAGAGACCTATCTGAGACACAAATGTAAAATAATGGAGATAAAAAATAGCAATGCATTCAGGCCACATAAAATTCAACTCTTTCTTAATCCAAGTTTTCTTCACTTCTGTAGTTTAAGGATTGGGGCAGAGGTCATTTCATTACTGCTACTATTAAACAGTTGAGAATCAGACAGTGTGGCAGGTATATTGCAAATCACCCAGAGATCTACCAATGCTGGCAGAGCACATGTCTTGCATGGAGAAGGAGCCAAGTCCTGGCTCATTCAGTTGTTATGTTTTTAACTGGTAATATGGGGAACAGATCTGGTGGGCAGCTGTAAGTTTAATACTGTGGGATAACTTGTTCTGTAAAGTAAACCATCCAGGTATAGGATCATATAACAATAAAATTATATTATTATTATTGTCTGTGTGTTCCAGATAGTATTATTATTAATAATAATAATAATACTAAAAATATGGGATGACCCCTTGGATTTGTTTAAAGGATGTTCAATCCTTTAAACAAAGGATTGATTGTTTGTAAACGATCTGAAACTTGTTAGCCTTGTAACTTGCCTCTGTAGCTTATTGGCCTTGTTCTTTATTGTATTTCTAACTGAATGTATTTCTAGCTTGTATTGTGGTTCTGATTCTTAAGAAGACAGGGTGGGCATATGAACAAGATGTAAAATTTAAAACACATAAATAGACAATATTGAAATAGATGGACTGATATAGTACACCTTCATATATTTCTACCAACAATCAAGCTATAGCAAAGATTCTCCATAGGTGAAGTTTTTCAGCCAGGAACATCCTCAAAGTAGTAGAACCTGTTTGTTCCCCTTTGTCCCACTTTCTGTTCCCAAACTCCATTACATCCCAAACCCTGTATCCCAAAAGTTTCAACTTGTCTTGCTTTAAAAGTCAAATTGCAATCTCAAAATTCTTAAGAGAAAGGAATCTCATTCAAACTTTAAATGTGGCTGATCTACTTGAAACTTACATTGGTACTGCTTTCCTTAATGAGCTCATGATCCAGTGTTCCTGGCAAAAGCAAGTTTGGTTCTCCCACTTCAACCTGCCAACTGCCCCAAGCACCCAGAGCATTCTTCTCTCTCCATTTCCTCACTGCAGAAAAAGGAAGGGAGAAAAGTAAGCACTACAGTAATGTTTTTATTCTACTTGTGTTGATTTGTACTGTTCACCACTGCAGAATCTGTTCAAATGTGGAAAAGCATTCATTTGTTTATTCATTTATACTACCCGGTAGCCAAAGCACTATGGGTGATTCACAATCATCCATTAACATATAGTCTAAAATACACTACATTATAAATACAAATATTGTAAATCAATAATACCTTGACAACTACTTTCAAGAAAGCATTCTCAATAACTTCACAGCCAAAGCTGAATTTTTAGGCAGATAATTATTTCAGTACCTCAAGGAGTAACAACAGATATGTGTGGCTCAGTATTTCAACATATGGATGAGATACTCTGTTAAAAAGAGCTCTAGTGGGCCATTTTCTTGAAAAATTTGAAGCAGAAAAATGTCCGGTATTCCCAAATCAAACTGGATCTGATTCAGCAAGTTTTGATGATATGTAATTTGGTTTCCTTTATCTTGCCTGCCCCAATTATGCCCCTTCACCTATTTGCAGAGAAAAAGATAAACCTAAGGCTTTTTCATGCATTAATCACATAAAGAGGGTATAAACATTGAAAGGATCTGTACAAGATCACTGATTACACAGCTTTCCTGTTTATATTTAGTTTTTATGAAAAACCTTTTCTGGAAAGGTAAAAACTTCCTTGGAGAAAAAAAAATGTAGTACGATTTTTTCCTGCCACATCACTAATAACTTGGAACACAGAAATATATTTTAGAAAAGCTGTCTTTTCCATTGTGCTGTTAAGTCCATATTACTTCCTAGATCAAGAGAGAATTGTATTCTGTCTCTTGTACTAGAAATATTACCACGTTGGGTGAGTGGGTAACCTGAGTATTGGTTGCCCTCATCTGAAGACACACTGTAACTAAAAGCATGTGAACATAAAAGATAGCATGGTGAATACGACCACAAAGGCCTATGCAATCCAGCATTGTTTCCACAGTAATCAACCAGCCACCTGGAGAAAGCACACAAGCAAGACCTGAGTACACCACCACTCTCCTACTCTTGTTCCCCAGCAACTGGTCATATAGTGATGCTTTATTTATTTATTTATTTATTTATGAATGAATGAATGAATGAATGAATGAAACTTCTATGCCGCTCCATTCGCTGAAGCCTTGGGGCAGCTCACAAACATAAATAAACTTCCTTAAAATAATATAAATTAACAGTATAAATTAAGTCGCCCTGGCCAAAGAATAAAATGAATAAATACTATTAACAATTAAAATGACATTTGAATAAAAAGGTCTTCACCTGGTGCCAAAAAACAAATAATGACGGCACCAGGCGGACCTCTCTGGGGAGTGCATTCCATAGATTGGGCGCCACCGCAGAGAAAGCCCTCCTCTGAGTACTCATCCTCCTAATTTCCTTCACGGAGGGTTCCCGGAGAAGGGCCTCTCCCGCTGATCTCAAGGAGCAGGCAGGCATATATGAACGTAAGTGCTCCTTCAGGTAACCAGGATCCAAGCCATTTAGGGCTTTATAGGTCATCACCAACACCTTGAATTGGGCCCAGGCTTCAATGGGAAGCCAGTGCAGCTGACAGAGGGCTGGAGTCATGTGAACATAATGCCCAGTCCCCGTCAGCAGCCTGGCAGCTCTATTTTGAACCAACTGAAATATCCGGACCGTGTTCAAGGGTAGCCCCCTTATAACCAGAACATATATATAACCAGAATATCTGGTAGCCATTGATAGCTTAATTTTATGTGAATAGGGCCTAGAGCAATTATGAGATTGAGATCCTTCTGTTATGATCAACACAAAAACTTTGCTGACCAGCGCGATGTGCAGCAATTACCAAAGGTAAAGCTGCTACTTATGATCAGCCTGCACAGTGTACCATTAATAACAAGTCAACTTCCCATCACTAATATTATACTCCAAACAGAAAAGAGACTGGCTTACCAAGCAGCAAATTAGTCTTCATGTCATAGTCCTCTGCCATCTCCTTCCCATTGTCAAACAGGTAATGGATTTTTCGCTTGCCTAAACAGAGCAGGTAAGTTCTTTAAGTCCACAGAAAGGACGCTGATCAGGGGCAGGCAATCAGGTGTCCTGCAGAGGCCCTGAACTGCAATTCCAGTTATCCAATGATAAAGATTTATGCACACCAAACCAACTAGAGGGTACCAGGGTGTTTCCCTCTAATGTTGAACATGACATCCTAACACCCTTGCTAGGCACATTTTAGTCTCCCCATGCTTGGCTGGAGACAACAAATGAATGGCCCATGGTGTCTGTAAGTGCATGAATTTATTTAATGTATTACACTTCTCTAACACCCAACAGTCAAAGCTGCTTTTGCAAACCACCCCTCCACACCCATCCCAAATCATACAGTCAGATGCTTATGCCTGCTTTGCTGGAAGTGAGCACTGATTTCAATCAGGCTAATTCCAAACTGCCCAAGTGCATAGCCCGACACAGTCCAGTGCTATTTCAGAATTAGCTCGACGAACAGACTTCGTTTCTGTAAATATTTCAGGGGTTTATAGCCCGTCCCATAACGGGCTCGTAACGGGGGGAATCCATGGGGCGGACCCCTGAGAAAGTGCGTATTATGGGAGTACACCTTCAATCTTGCAGGGAGCTGAAGCAGGGGGGAGCTGAGTGTACAGTAACCCTTGTACCATGACCAAACTTTTAAGCAGCCTACCCCAGCTTGTCGCCTTTCCGATGGTTTGGCTGACAAGTCCCACCATCCCTGTGCACTGGGGCTGCTGGGAGATGTAGCCCGAGAATCTGTCGGGCACCCGGGTGGAGAAGGCTTCTGTTAGGCCTCGAGCATTTCGAATGGCCCGAAAGAGACTGCCAACTCTCGCTTCATCGCGGAGCCCGTCCGCTCCCTTCCTCCGCCCTGGAATTCTCCCCAGTCCACCAGGCTCGCCTCCCCGCTGTCTTGCTCCCTTCCTCCTCCTCGGAGGGCCACGCTGGGCGAAGGCGACAGTCGGCCCGGCCCCGCTTACCATCTGCGATCAGGGCGGTCTTCCGCGCCGCACGCAGCTGCTCCAGCCAGTCCTTCGCGGCCATGTCGCCGCTGGACACATTTCCAAGGCAACCGCAGAACACTTCCGGCTTTGCGGGCCTGACACGGAAGGGAATGGCACGTGACCCTCGCTCCGCCTCCCCTCCCCGGTAAGTGGAAATGATGACCCCTCGTGCTCTCGCCCTCCCGCTCTCCCGCGCCGATGCGTGACGCTGTCAGGGCGTTTCCGAGCCTCCCCCCACTCCCCGGGGGCGCGACCCACCTGCTGGGGAGGCCAGTGGCTCACTGCGGCTCAGCTGCCGCCGGCAACCGGCGGAGGCGTCCGCTGCAGCGGGCGGCGGTGGCTGGCTGCTGCCGCCCACCAGACGTCGCTGCTCGTCGAGCTCCCGTAATCCTGGCCGTTAGCCAAAGTGTGGGCCTGATGGGGGTCCAGCAACATCTGAGGGGCTACGGGGTCGAAGCACAACCTGCTCAGAATGACAAGCCTCACTGCAGAAGCAGCAGTCTTTCCAAATCTGAGGCTCCTGCCTGGGTGCGGTGGGGGAGCGGGGCGGTCCTGGGAGTTGTAGTCCAGTGCATCTGGAGGGGCCTCAGGTTGGGAAAGGCTGGGTTAAGTAGCGATCCAGTTAGTGGATGAGGTACAACTGCATGGAACCTTAAGTTAGCTTGCTTGTCATCTTGTGCTCCTCTGTCTCCCTGGATGGTGTGCAGTGGCCTCTGCTCTGCAATGTGTTAAATCCTAACTGCCGCACCACTCAGAAAGAGTTTTCTTTTTGTCATTTAAGGTCCTGACTTCAACCTCTAGGCCATTTCCCCCCAATCTGGTGCCCTTGAAATGCTTTGGATGTCAACACCCAGAGAGCATGGTCAGTGGTCAGGAATGCTGGGAGCTGTAGTCCAAAACATTTGAAGCGTACCAGATTTGGAGAAAGCTGTTCTAGGCGGTATGATGTTCATTTGTTTCTTTAGATCCTTTTGTTATTCTACGTGACTTCCCACATGAAAGGGTTTGTGGGAAGCCGCATTTTGCCTAGTTTAGAATGTGAAATGAAACCCTAAAATAAATGGTACTTAAGAAAAAACAACACTTAAAGTAGTCTTGCATACACCTGCTCTCTGGGTGGTATAACTATGAGGAGTGGTCCTGCTGAGCCAAATTCCAGCACACTGTTCAAAGAGGCTTGCAAACAGGAGATGAGTGAACATACAAGGAGCAGCTTCCTCTCCCTCTGGGTGGTACAGAGTTGTGCTACTTGGAGAGAGTGCTTTGAACCACTACACAGCCCAGGGGGTCAAAGCCTGTGGCAATCAGGAAGCCTACAAAGTCAGACCATCAATCCCAGTATTGTCAACTCTGGCTGTGGCTCTCCAAAGCCTAAGACAAAGAAGGCCCTTTCCCAGAATGGCTGCTAGCCAAGATCCTTTCAATGAGAAGGTTTGGATCTTAAACTTGGGACCTGCTACATTCAAAACAAGCACTGAACTGCTAACACTGAACTGTGGCACTTCCATAGTCTTGTGTGTCTTTGAAAGTAAGCATCACATGTGTTCCTCTTAATTCTAGAAGAGTCAGAGGGTAAGGTAAGAGCCAACTACCAGAAATGTCAGAAAAGGCTACATTGTGGCCTTTTCTGTACATAACTTCTTTCCTATACAATAATGACAGCACAGCTGTCGTTTCCACAGCAGTGCATGCATATTTAGTAATTGCTTTCCAGGTGGTGTACTTCTAAAGTCTAGGGGATCTTCCAGATGAGACATTTACTGAATAATTGCCTCATTCATGAAATTTTACAGTGGGTGTCCACTTTTCATTTGTAGCTGTCCCATGTTTTCCTACCACATCTTCTCTCTTTTATTTTACCAGGAAAAAACTCAGGAAAAGATGGAATAGCTGCATGAAGACTTTTGACTGCTAGCACTAGGGGCCCTCCCTACATTGTCGCTGGGTATGCTCACCAAATCTCTCAGTGTTCAAAACCACTTGTACCCAGATGAAATATAGCTGTACCACTCCACCCCAGAACCATTCCTTCCTCCAGTTCTGCTTGCCATGCAGTGGCCTCTCTAAAGTTTCTGCTTTGATGTTTTGCTATCATCTCAAACTCAATGTTGCCCAAACTGAACTTCTAATTTTTGCCTCTCAAGCCCTACTTTGCTCATCCTTTTCCTCTATTAACAATGTTACCATCCACAGATTATCTTTCAGTCCTTGTACTCCTTTGTTCCCTGTTTTCAATCTTTCACCAAGTTGTGATGCTTCTCCTTACACATTGTAGCAAAAACGTGACCCTTTCTGTCTCCTCAAACTCTTGTCCATGCCCATGGTGATCTCTCATTCAGACTATCTGCAGGTTTCTCCTCTCTAATTTTCTGCAGGCTTCCCTTGGTCCTGTCACACCTGTACATCATTCTGTTGCCAAAATAATTTACTCCTTTCGTCTGTTTGATCATACTGCATGCGTTCTTAAATCCCTTGACTTGCAGTAGTACATGGATCCAGCACATTTACACCTGCTTCCTGCTTTATCTCTCCACACTTGTATCTTGATAAATCCCTGCCTTCACTTCTGTCTCTACCACCCTCCACTGTCCAAGATTTCTTGTTCCCTCAGAAGACTCTGCCATTTCTATCTTGGTATTCAGTATGCTTGTAACTTCCTTCTAGACAGTGAAAAAAGTAGGCCTGGAAAAAATTCCATTGCTTTAAATCATGCTCTCTGATTTAGCATGTTTGACTTAATTTTACATATTCTCCCTCAATAAGTACACAAATTCCATATTAATAAAGGAACTAAAAATGTAACCCATGTCAATTTCATGTGCAGTGTAAATGGATCAAAAGCTTTCCCAATAGCTATAACATATTTGAACTGAAGTATTTGCTTAAGGGAAAATTAAATCATACAGTGTTAAATATTATATTCAAAGATATTCAAAGTTTATGTGCAAATTATTTTATTGGAATATTTTTAAACCTGTAATGACAGTACCATATTCTTCTTTACGAAGTTTGCTTGCATTTAACAGAATGATCACACTATTTTAAAGATATATACCCAAAGAGAGCTGCTGTATCTTATATCAACAGTTTATTTATTTGCTAGGTCACTGTAGCACCATCAGCTTCATTCATTCTCTGCACTGCTTTTTGGCTCCATCTCAAGCTGAGAAAAATCTGATTGAGAACTAGTTGAATATTGTATTTCACTAAAGGATGGGTGTGGGTCTGTGGGCACAGGCTGGAAAGCTCTTGCACCCATGTCCTGCTTGTGGGATCCCGTCGGCAGTTGGTTAGCCACTGTGTGAACAGAGTGCTGGACTAGATGGACTGTTGGTTTGATCCAGCACAGCTATTCTTATGTTCTTAAGAGAAACAAACATTAATCAGTCTTAGCTGCTGTCTTCATTCATTTTGTGAGTGAAGAATTTAAGCAATAGAGGGCAGCTACACCATTTATAAATCTGGTCCAGACTCAGCCGGGAATCACCTGTGCTGTGCACAGAACTCTTATTTCTCATAGCTGCTTTTGTCAATTCATCACTGAAAAGGAAGAGTTTTTCAGCACTCATCTGCATTGTTTTAGTTCCTACATGGGCAACTGACTGGTAGGATTTGTTAAGGCTTGCCTTAGAAAAAATAAGGTATAGATGTTCATATTCTATATTTAGCACATACACCGTGTTTGATTGCAGTGTAATATACTGTAACTGTCAATAGCCACAGACATATACGATGTGGAAAATTTACCATGGAAAAATAGACCATTGGGAAAATTCTGCTCCATTTCGCTGCTCCTACAAGGCTTGGATTTTGCCATCTCCTGCTTGCCTGTAATCAATATGACAAACACAGTTTACACAGCAATTCAAATGCAGGCCTTTAAAGATAAAGCATTCAAAGTCCTGGATGGATGATCTCTAAGCTTTAGTTTTTCACCCTTCGAAATCTTTAAAATCTCAAGTTCTTTTTGCCCTATATATAAAAACTGAACTAAAGTCTCACTCGATCCTGCTGTCCTCTCCTATCTCCAGAAGCACTTTTTGACTGCCTCATCATAACACATTCTTTCCTCTTCCTTGTTTAATAATGTGGCAGTGAAACAGTGACAGAGATCCATACTACAGGAAGAGAAGATGGTCGATGCAATGGGATGATGGAGTCCAAGAGTTCGGGAGATGTAACTCTCCTGGAGGCTGCAGCTTAATTATTTAACTTAATCAGATTTACCTTTTTGGTGGGTGTGCGAGGCGGGGAGGAAATTAATTCTTGAATCTGACAGTCTCGGAGATCTTTGTGAAAATGAACACACAGATAAGCATATAGCTATCTTAAAACCCAGTGATATTATTTGGAAGCAGAGAGTGTAGAGGCAATCCCAGAAGTAGTTCAAGCTTCTCCATTCTCTTGGAACTTTGTGTCTTGCAAGAACATCACCACCAGAGTATCCAAGTGGTAGGAGGGGCTTGGGGGCTTGGTGGTAGGTGCAACTGAGAGCAGCCTGCTTAGGAGCCCTAAAATCTATAGCCAAGCTTATTCCCCTGTGCTGGAATTCATTGGCAGGGATCTGTCCATTTGTATTCTATGCAGTGCCATGCTTAATGAGGGTGCTTTAAGAATAATGATGGATAAAGCTGACAGAGTGGCATATATGGGGATATGAATTTCAGAAGTTCTTGGAACTAAAGGGCAGTATATTGTTGATGCTGCTGTGACTCCTGAAGCGCCAAGTCTGTTGATCATTTGATGTTCCAGATTCTTTTAAGCTGAAGAGAGAAAGGTCCCATCACCGATTGGATGGGAGAACTCACAGAGTTTCTCACTGATGCTAAGAAAATAAATGGCATCCCTGGAATAGAACCCAAAGTGGGCATAACTATTTCCCTGTTTATTTTTCATGTGCAAGCACATGTGTGCACACATGGACACATAGTGTTATCATGCATACTTTCCAGGCCCCTGATCCAGCTGAGGAGCTGGGGTATTTATTTATTTAAAGTTTTTATAGACCATTCTATAGCATACCACTCTCAGAACAGTTCACAGTCTTCTCTTCCTACTCATCTGATCCATGCAGATTAGCTGAAGTAGGAATATGGCAGGGTGCACCAAGAAATTTTCCCTGGCAAAGGCAGTTGATTAGAGCATCTTGCTGCTGAAACCTTTCCCACTGTACAGCAAGGAAAAGCTCTTAGGTCTGATCAGCTGATCTTTACCTGGGGGATAAGGGATGGGGTGGGAGATACATAGGAAACTGGAAAGTTGGATGGGAAATCCCCACTGGCCATATCTGGTTTCCCACACCTGTCAGAGGGTTATCTTTTCTAGAGTGATGTTGATGATTAAAATCGATGATAAACTAAGACCTCTCCCCACAGCAACTGATATTATCCTATTAGCCTTACATCTTGATAATTACATCCTCCTAAAGTTGCTTATGGTATTTTTTCATGTGTTGCTATGGATCACAAGGTAGCTGTATTTTCAGAGAAGTTCCAGAAATCCTTCTGAAAAACCTCCCCACTTTAAACCCTTGCTGTTTTTACCCTTCTTTAAAAAGATGCTTTAGTCCTGTTCGGGAAGGAGGCATCCATGTTCCATGGAGGCTCAAGGAATTGTCAAAACTTTCCACAAACGAAAGAAATTAAAAGATGCTTCACTGAAGGTGATGTCTCCGAAGGTAATGAAAGAAGAAACCAGGAACGAGCATGGTGAGCTTTCTGTTTCTTTAACCAGATGAAGCTAGGAGGTAGCCTGCCCCACAGTGTTGTAGCCTGCCCCACACTTATAGGCTAGCTTTTAGTGTAAATTGTTTTCAGAGAAATCACTTAAACTGTAAGGATCTAGTCAAGTATTGTGCTTTGAGGTGAAGAGCATGGAACTGGGACTCAGGTGATCTGGGTGCTAGTCCCTGCTCAGCCACAGAGCCAGCTGGGTGGCTTTGGGCTAGTCGTAGAATCTTAGCCCAACCTACCTCACAGGGTTGTTGTGGCTAAGATTGAGAGCAGCAGGAGGACAATGATATAAGCTGCTTTGAATTCTTTAAAAGAAAAAGGATGGGATATAAATCTAAATAAATTAATTAAAGTGTTGTGCTCTGATATCTTGATTATGAAATATAAACCAGCTATCCTTTATGGTAGTTATAGTTTCAAGTTGTCACTCGGATAGGGCATGATAAACCCGCCTTTGTTTTGCTGAACTGTTTTCCTCCATGGCTGTTATTAGCAGGGTGGTTGCAGCCACTGAGAGCCCATGTTCTGCAAGCAGGAATCGGTCAGGCCAGAGCTGAGATCTTCTGCAAGCAGATAATCCAAAATGGCGGAAGTGTCTGCAGTCAGCTGTCCCCAGATGTGACACATGTGATAGTGGATGAAGGAATGGACTGTGACCGGGCTTTCCGGCTCCTCAAACTAGCCAAGCTACCTCAGGGATTGCAACTAGTGAAGGCATCCTGGCTGAGTTCCTGTATTGAAGCGCAACAGATTGTCGACACTGCTGGCTATAGCCTTTTCATTCCAGAGAAGTAAGTGCCTCTCTTGTACAATTTATTCAATCTGAGGAGGCAAGCTTGGTATAGAAACTAATTTCTTGTCTTGCAAATGCACGGAAAGGAAAGTGCTTCACTCCATGGCTGTATTCATACATAAGGCATCTTACCTTGTACCTTACCTTACCACACAGCAAGGCATCTATCCTGGATTTGCACATTCATGTGGTTTCTATGCATGCAAGATTTCCATGCTGCTTCATCTTCTTTCCAAATGGTGCCATGTATCCCAGCAGCCATGACAGCTAGAAATCAATCAATCCCAGGATACCCTGTTCCTGCCTGCCTCACCTGCCTCTCCCTCATTGGCCCTTTCACTCCCATTGGCATAGCTGCAGCCAGCTGATTTTTTTTTTTTTTAATTTCGCTTTAACTTTCTTCTGCTGCTCAGCCAAAAAATTGCCTGCTCGCTACAATAGCCGTGTTGCTCTAGAGTAGGTGGGATGCCCTCTGGTGAACAGAGTAGCAGGGCTGGGGCAGATGCCAACAATATACACAGAATTGTGGGAGGTTGGGATAAATTGCCCCAGTAAGCTCTCCTGCCCCCCAAACCTAGGCAGACCTGCCCAGTTGCTTCATGCACCACTGGCCATTCTCCCACCACCAAATGATGAGGGCTTTTTGCTAGCATACATTTGTATCATTTTTCAATTGGAGAAGGCTGCCTAACCCTGTACAAAAGCTGTATGACAAATAAAATGCCACCTTATCTGGGGATATTAGTATCCCAGTATTTCTCTTTCATAGATAAATGTTAGACATTTGAGAAACAAGGCATATAGGCAGAAGGGTTTTCAGCAGAAAAGGCTTTGAAAAATTAACCATTCTAATGGCAATAGAGGTTAAATGGCAACCAGCCCGAGAGTTCATGTATTAACTCTATAATTCTATTTTCCTAATTTCTCAGGGTCTTATTAAGTTGAGGATGGATGTGTTCAAATCCAGTGATTCTGCTTTACCGTACATTTATTCTTGGCAGGTATGTGAGTGCAGCCAGTCCTTCAAAGAGCCAGTCGCAATTTCTGGATGAAAAGAAGATCCACCCTCAACTGGAGAGGGCAGTCACAGAGCTGAAAGGTGAACCACAGGCAGGGGCCAGCTCTCCCTGCACTGCAACAAACTCCTCAGGACTCCAGGAAATCAAAGGGGTGGGTCTTGCTAGTGGCTTCCCACTTTTGAGCACTTCCTCCCTCCCTCCCCCCCTCCCTCTTTTGGTTAAAGTTTTTAAAAAGTTATTTCCTAATAATGTTATCCTATGTCATCCTCCTAAACCAGCTGGAAAGCACTACTCATGTTTGGGATTAGTGGCAACAAATATTACTTAAAATGGCTTAAATCTATAGGCACTGCCATTTTTCTCCCTCTCCACTCCTTGCCCACAGGTGAAAGGAAAATATAGGGTGCCCTTATAGAAACTGGATCACAATATGAGCTTCTTTTAATTACTTTGAGTAGGCTGCTTTAGCAAACCTGATGTCAACTCACCTGAAAAATCCCAGATATTGGACAAAATATAAAGAGAGTATTTGGCAAACTACATTAATGGTTAAGTTGCATGAAATGTGTACTGTGATGGTGCTGTCTTTGGAAATCTCTTGAAGCTTACTATGTTCTGTCCTGTGAATATGTTGTCATTATTAGTAATTGATATTGATATTAATATAAACATTAAAAGAAGTATTCTCCTTCCAAAAACACTCAAAGTTGTGGAGAAAATGTACACTGGCCTCAAAGCCCTATATATCCATTTGCATCAAATTTCATTTCTTCTTACTCTGAAGCGTATTAAAATTTGCTTGTACAATATTTCCCCTGCATTGTATTAAATTCCCTAAAGCTTGTTCCCTATAGCATCTTGACCATACTGTGTAATGAGTATGAGCCATTGTTCAACTTCTTAAGTATTCCTTTCTGTTCTCTACTAATCAGTGGAAATTGCAGAATGCCCAGTGTGTCCATTATGGAATGTAGTCGCCCCCTTGTGGCTGCAGAATAAGTGGTAAACTGCATCACAGTAATTGATGTATCCTGGGACAAATCCTTATTTATGATTTATTTTTGCCTCTGGTCCAAAACTCAGACACAGACAAAACACCTTCACAAGTTGTGATGGTCCATTGCATTCTGCTCACCCAGAGATTTTGCCCAATATATTTTCTTGTTCTAGTGCATGATTATTATAGAGGAAAATGTGGAGATAGAACTGTAAGTACAACTGATGCCTACTGTTTTCTACTCTGAACTCAGCTAATGATTGTTATGGATCTCATGGGGACTAATAGTGCCCTTGAGTGTTTTAGAGACCCCTCCTGCTTGGCTGCATAATGAGCCCAGGCTTTGTAATTGTTTGGATCAGAAGAGCTGTATTTCATGGGTTGCCTGTTCTTCCTCTCTCCAAAGAGGATCTTGGGCGATGAGGGAATTGAAGAAGAAGAGCCTGCTGTCACCCTGAGAGAACTGGAAGCCCTCAGGTCAGGCCGGGACCTGAACGCTTTGTCAGAAGAGTCTTCAGCGGTGCTTCCCACTGGCAACTGGGTTTGTGCTCAGTCCTCTGAGAACAAGAGAAATAATCTTAATCAGTGCATTACAGAGAAGCTGGAGCTACTGGCCAAAGCCTACTCTGTCCAGGGGGACAAGTGGAGAGCTCTGGGTTACTCCAGAGCCATTAATGCACTCAAGAGCTACCACAAGCCAGTCACCTCTTATCAGGTAAATGGCAGGATCTCTTCTCAGGCAAGCCCCTTTTCTGTTACATTTCCACCTCCTGTACAGTATCTGTACCTTGCCATTCTTGGGAGCAAACACCAAGCATTGAAATGGTTGGCTTCTTCTTTGGGACATAATGCATTCTGGAGGGATCACTAGCAGTTATGCTCCACCACCAAGTTGTAACACTAGAGTTTCTTGCAGTCTATGCCTTGCCTGCCAGTATTACTCCCTTGCTATTTTTTCTGCTCCTCAGAGAGAGCTTCTGAATTAGCAAACACTTGTGCTACACTTCTAGTCCTTTCAAGAAAGAGTTCCAAAAAGGTCTGTTATTGCCTTGAGGGCAAGACAGAAATTTAGTAGCAAGAGAATAAAAGACACAAAGTATGATTTGTGCAGATTTCACAAATTTCATGAATTTCTAAATGCTGGTTTGCAAGACTGGCATCTTGAGGAGGTACCTGTATTGGAGAGTTGGTAGCACTTTAGGAGTAAAGAAAATAATTGTCCAGAAACTGAAGTCAGCCCTGTCCAAACAAGAAAGACCTTGCAGATTTGCTTCTGGCTATGTGCTGCTTTTTTGGATTCTTTCAGGAAGCTTGCAAGATCCCTGGGATTGGAAGGAAGATGTCAGAAAAGATTGTGGAGATCCTGGAGAGTGGGCACCTTCGAAAGCTTGACCACATCAGTGAGAGTGTCCCAGTACTGCAGGTGTTTTCCAATATCTGGGGAGCAGGAGTAAAGACTGCTCAGATGTGGTACCAGCAGGTAATTTTTTCTCTTTACAGTGCTGAGAACAGCCATAATTGCTGCTGCATTTGTTTGTACTGTGGCCCTGCTATAAGGCTTACATTTATGAGTTATATGTTATAGCACCTGTTGCTCACCAGTTTGGTTTACATCTCCCATAATCCTTCACCATTGGCCATGCTGGCTAGGGATGGTAACAGTTGCAAGCCAGAACTTCTGTCGGTTACTGAATTTGGAGAAATAACTTCCAGTGTGCTAGAGAAAGAACTTTATTAGCATCATCTGACTGAGTGCTTGGCTACCTACGTAGTACTGTTTGCTGTTGAGATCAAAGAATTGAAACAAAATTGCATTAAGCAGAAATTAAATCCTTACTACAGCCCAAGCTGGAGTGAAAAGAGACAGCAGGCAGTATGAGCTCTTTGGTCCAAACATGTGTATTGTGCCATATCCTGACTACAATGCATAATGTAGATTCTGTTTGAGTAAGTCTACTGCACAAATTGTATGGCTGCTGGAGGTCACACGGTCTTCGATGAGCAAATCATCGCGATGTACCCTTCCCACCCATGCCAGCATGTAGTGTTCACAGTTATGGCATGTGTCATCACTACTTGTATCAGCCTCATTTACTTCAGTTTCAGTATCTGTAGCGTCTTGTTGCCGATTTATGTCCCTCTTCACTCACTGTCAAGCTTTTTTGCAAAGGGCTCGTGTAAAGTCGGCATTTTGTTTTGTGCCTTTCTCCAGTGGCAATACCATCACAGTCTATTTTTGTCAGCATGGGCCCAAGTGGACCCAGTGATGAAGGGGGCAGCAGTATTCTGCCAACACTAGGCTGAACAGAGGGCAAGAGGACAAGAAACCCTGACATAACTCCAGTTCCGCACTGCTGGCGACAGAGCTGGCTCCTGCTGGATATGAATGAAATCTCTTAGGAAGCATGCCTGAAACACAGTCCCTGAATCTTGTGTGTGTCCTGGGCAGGGCTTCCGCACTCTGGATGACATCAGCACTAAGGCTTCACTTACCAGTCAGCAGGCCGTTGGCTTGAAGCACTACGAGGACTTCTTGGAGCGCATGCCGCGGGAGGAAGCTGCTGAAATTGAGCAGGTGGTGAGTATGGCACTAAAGAGTGTGGGCAAGCCACTGGTGATGCTTAGGAGGCCACAGGAGATTCCTCATCTCAACTTCCTAGAGCATAACTGTTCTGCAAAACTGATAGTCTTTTTGTGTTGACAACTTAAGAGACATCAGTTTTCCTAATTTTCTAAACAGATGTCTTTTCTTGTATGCATTCTGATTTGGCAAGAAACACAATTCCCACTTTTTCCCATTAAGAGGCAACACTAGGTGTTGGGAGTTGAGTCTCCTAGTAATTATTGGCATATTTGGGCTTCATTTCTCTTCCCCATCAAGCTTCAGTCTGGGGTACCAACACTAGGATCTGCCTCACCCTGCTGGAGCACCAGATGCTGGAACAGGTAAAAAGATGTGGAGATGGGCATCTCTTGGTCTTCAGTATCTCACAATGGTTGGTTGACTACGTGGGAAATGTCTCCATCCTAACCAATGTTAGCTTTGATAGTGCAGGATGCTCACCAGCTGGACCTGAAATCTTGACTCAAGACAAGCTCTTATCTGGAAACAGGGTCCTGCTTACTCATCTGCTAAGACGGAATTTTTTTTTAAAAGGTAGCTAATGTCAACATGGGAATTCCACCCTAGCCTTCTGCCTCCACCACACTTTTTTCTGGGAAAATTCTTAGTGTTTACTGCAGATGATTAAATTGAGATTTGATCCTGCTAGGGCTTTTGAGTTCCTGCATGATCTGTAATTAACATGAAGTTCCCGCTAGTTGGGCAAAAGGTAATGTACAAAAAGTAGGAAGCAAAGCTGCTGCTTCCTTCTCCCTCCAGGCTGATGCTTTGTAAATCTTTATAGCTGATCTAGCATTCAGGCTTCCTTATTAGTATACCTCTGTCCTTACTACAAACTGGCAGCTCTCATCCCTGTTTTCGTAAATGACCAAACCTGTACTGCTGCTGCTCTTCTGAAAAACTCTTTCAGGGCAGTGCAGCCTTGTGCTTGTGAAGCCCTGTGGTGCCACTCATGGTAGGAAAGCAGAAGCTTTGCCAGCCCTCCAAGAAAGTCTCCTCTTCTCCTCTTTATGGGATCATGACCCTCATAAGCTTACAGAAGTCAGCTAATAAAAATGTCCAAGCCGTGAGTTGCAGACTCATGGATCTAAGCCACATGAAACCTTTTCATTGCTTTTCCTGGATGCTGAAATTACCATGGCAGCACTGGGCAGCGTGACACTGTCACTCAGTCACACTGCCTGGCCCTGAAGAATATATAGTTGCCAAGTAGGGCATTGCCCCTTACACAGAATGAAAATTCTTTTGGGAGCCTCCACCCTTGGGAGTGAGCCTATTGTGGATTTGATGGGATTACCCATCTCTTGCCCACCTCAGGAGGAAGAGACAGGAGAATGAGGGGATTAGCTGCTGTCTGTCTGGGCTCCTAGGTGCTGTGTGAAGCTGGCTGCTTTCAAGAAAACTTAATTGAGGATGTGAAGGGAGCAGATCTGCATTAGAAAAGCTAGGGAGGCTATTCCAGATGTGGCAGGGCAAAGGTTAATGGGTTTATCCCTCACTAATGAAGGATGATATTGGAGGATGAGGTGGAGTGCTTTCCGTCCAAGCTGCCTCCCCCAGCCCCACATGCCATCCAGTCTTTGTTCAGTTAATGGATGATTGGCACCCTAGTACCCCTAACCCTGAATACGGAAACTGCCTTCGCATGATGCTTTAATGGAGCCATCAGAAGGATGCCCATATGGATGGGGGACTCAGCTTTGGGCCCAAGCCCTCATAGGATTGTAAATTTCAGCTCAGCGAGGACTTGGGGCTTCCCACTCTCCACTGAGTGCATCTGGAGCTCTCTTCCACAGAATGAAGCTTCTAGAAGCTTCTAGAAGCTCCATTCTGCAACAGGAGAGTGGCAGAGCCAGGAGCTAGTGCTACATTGCTGTGCCAGGCTTCATCCTACCTCCCTTCTTTAAAATAATCAGACATACCCAGTCCCACTCCGTAGCACCTGCTCCATCACAGACATGCTGCAACACTGGCCAGAGTGCTTGCTCTTTTTTTTTCTTCAGCTATGTGGCATGGTAACATCCATCTAGTTAGGAAAGAGTATTACTTTCAGGCTTTCAGCTACCAAAAGAGCAGCCATGTCCTGAATCAGGTAAAGCCATACTGTATGTATTCTCTGGGTTTCATGGTTCACATAAAGCCATACTGTGTCTTCTGTGTGCATCATGGCTCACATAATTCAGTATCTTGTGAGCCTTAGTATTTGCTTATAGCAGATATGTCAGATTCTTTGGACTGGTTTCCTGCATTGCTGACCATCTAGGAGCAGAAATCTAAAAAATCTGGAAATCTACTCTCCACTCATGCCTGGCTTATTGGCATTGTGGGCTTGAAGGCAAGCTTGCAGGCATATGGGTAATTCATAGGGAAATTCCCAAAACAAGAGGCAGGCTCAGTAAAATGTTGTGTGGTGAAAGGACAGGGTTCAAATGTGTCACCTTGACTCCTTTTCCTTTCCCATATCTGGCAGAAGCAGAACAAATGGAACAAGATGTTGCATTATGCAGAATTTATGGAAAAGGTAGACATCAGCTTTCTTACCACAGAATTTAGATTATGGTGGCATTAATTTTTGAAATTTGTATTGACTGCTTGCACCATGCACACACAGCACTGGGCAGTCAGGTGACCTCCACAGTGAGTACCAGAGACATGGAATTTGTAAGTGTATCTCTGTCCTTTACTCTAACCTGTCTTTCCTTGGAGGTCAGAGAAGCAGCACAGTCGATGAATCCTGGACTGGTGTGTGTAGCATGTGGCTCATTCCGGCGGGGGAAATCCACCTGTGGAGATGTAGATGTGCTAGTGACTCATCCTGATGGACATTCTCACCAAGGAGTATTCAAGAAGTTGCTTGACAGCCTCTGGAAAAGCGGTATGGGGAGGGGATAAGGGACCCCACTCTTGATTCCTTTCACACCTGGGGAACCATTTGAGAGAACAAGAAATATCATTGGCAGCTACTGGTGTGTACATCCAGGTTGTGGAAGCTCATCCTTATGCTAAAAACTCCTCTTTCATTGGAAACTGTGGATACTTCTCTTCCTGGACACAGCTGGAAACATTTGTTAGAATTCCTGCATTCGGAACCTGAAGACCATTAGTTGGGAGGCTTTATATTGTCCACCACAATTTTGCAATATGGATTCTCCTTTTTCTTGGAATTCTGCTCTGTAGAAATGTTCTATCCCACTTCTTAGCATGTAACATCTGGTCAATACAAGCCTACAAGTTAGTGAGCAGAAAGTGGCTTGGTTAACTCTCCTGCTTTATGAAGGTCTCTCTGCCATCCATTTCAGACAACACAGGGAGCTGAGCTTTCCTCTCTATTCAAGCATTTGGGGAGAGATTATATGTTTGCCCCCTCAAAGGTGCACGGGGTTAGCTAAAGTCCCAGTGATCTTTCCAGAAAGATACCCCTGAAGAGACTAGAATGTCAATGGTTAATGACCAGGTAATTCAGGTCACTATGGCAAACAGCACAAACAGTTGGATGTGCTGTTTCCAGAAGAAAACCCACCAGTTGTATTTCCCAGGTAGGCCCTGGGAATGGTGCTAGCAAGCAGGGAACCTCCCCAGCCCAGGCTTACACTGGAGTGGGGAAGGATTTATAATTCATCCTGACATATGCCATTCTCTTCAGGTTTTCTCACAGATGACTTGGTGAGTCAGGAAGACAATGGACGCCAGAAGAAGTACTTGGGGGTCTGCCGTCTTCCAGGTCCAGGCCGGCGCCACCGGCGCCTTGACATCATTGTGGTGCCCTATGATGAGTTTGCTTGTGCCCTGCTCTACTTCACTGGCTCAGCGCACTTCAACCGTTCCATGCGAGCTCTGGCCAAGACCAAGGGCATGAGTCTGTCAGAACATGCCCTCAGCACTGGTGTGGTGCGCAGGCCTGGGGGCCTCAAAGCAGTGCCTGGTCTTCCTCTGTTAACCCGTACCGAGAAGGACGTGTTTATGCACCTGGGGCTTCCCTACAGGGAGCCCCATGAGAGGGACTGGTGAGGAGAGGGACAGGAGCAGCACCCAGATGCTTCCAAGTGCTGCGCTTGCACGAGATGCAGAAGAACATAAGAGGCGCCCTGCTGAAGCAGAGCGAAGGCCAATTGGTCTGGCATCTTGTTCATGCAGTGCCAAGCAGATGCCTCTGGGAGCGGCAAGGAGGACATGAGTGCAACAGCGCCCTCTTGGCATATGGCCTCCAGTGCTGGAGGAAACGTCACAGCTGGCATCTATTGATAGCCTTATTCTCCATGAATTTGTCTAATCTCTGTAGGCAAACTTGTCCTTCTTCCCTTGACAAAAACCTGTGGCTTAAGAAGCTGTAGCTTCTGTGAGCAACCAGTCTCTTTCTGCATTACTGGGCCTTGAGTTTTTTGACTGAGGAAAGCCCAAGGTGCTCAGCATGCTTTGATGGATTGCAGGGACTGGGCTGCGAAGGGCAAACAACCTTCCTCAGTCAGCAATTATAAAAATGAATGCAAAAATTAATGTGAAGCATCCTGCATACTGAAAATAGAAGGGAGAGTGGGAAATGCATAGACTTTAAAGAATGAATTCAAAAACATTTGTGCAATGAATGGTATTATTGTTATGATAACTGTGAAAGCTGCTAGAATCTCCCAGTGGGAGAGGCTGCTTTTGAAGGTTGGTACACCTGATATTTTGAGATTTTTTTGCAAGGACACGAAGCTTTTTCCTGTCAAAGGCTGCATTTTCTTGGGAATACCTTGTTGGGGGTTGCATGCCAACAGTGGGTGGAACTGAAGCCAGTGTTGGGTGAGACCAGAACCAGAAATGGACAATGCCACCTTTCCTCCTTTCTGTCACCCCTGTTTCTCCCTCTCTCACACCTTCTCTCTCTTCCTTCTTGCACAGTAGGATGTTGGGGGAGTCACAGGTTACTTTTGTCAGAATCTGAAGGAACAGCTACAAAAAATTCCTTACAGTTTGCAGTAAAAAATTCCCAGGTGAAGTAAAAACGATTCTTACACCTTATTATAACTATATAAACTAGCATGGCCTTGAGCCTCTCAGTCCAGTAATGCTGTTCAAACACAGGGTTCCTATTGAGAGTCCCCAAAGCACTGCCTGTATTTGCACACCTGTTTCCTTAAGGCCTAAAGACATGCTTCTTTCCTTTTCAAATTAAAAAGACCTGCAGGTCTCAGGGTGTTGAATTCTGGCCCAGGCCATATTCTGCACCTGTGTGATTCAATTAGGATGCAGATTTCAGGTACATTGAGCCTTGGGTGATGATGCAGAACTTCACAGAAACCTGCAAAGCTGCCTCACTCCAGATCAAACTATTCATCTCTCTAGCCCAGGATTATCTATTGCCATTGGTTCATTATCGCAAGCAGAGAAGTCTTCCCTGTTGCCTAGGGCATTCTGCATGCAAAACACCTATTTGCCCTAAAACAATGCCCACTCCCCAGTTCTTAGGTGAGAATAGAGTTTTGGAGGAGATCTCCAGTTCCAGTTTCCTGAAAAATGCAGCTATCTAACCATTGAGATTCCTGCAAACTTTTCTCTTATTCATAGAATCATAGAAATAGAGCAAGTCAGAAGGGGCCTCCCGGGCCATCTAGTCTGACCCCCAGCTCCAGCTGACTTCGCTCACAACATGGCCACCATGTGCATGTCCATCCTATCTTTGAACACCCTCACCGATGGGACCTCAACCACCTCCCGTGGAAGTGCATTCCACACCCTCAGGGTCCTAACTGTCAGGAAGTGCTTCCTGGCATCAAAATGAAACCTTGGTTCCCTGAGCTTTGCTTGAAATTCCTAAGTATTTAAATCATGTAGACCATATTTTCCCCTTATAAACATGGGAGCTGGACATACTTTCAAAGAAAGAACCGGCAGATAGCAGAGCTGGCTCTACCTGTAGTTCTCTGAGTGATATATGAGTGAGAGCCAGTGTGGTGGTGTGGTTAAGAGCATGGGACTGGGACTCAGAGGATCTGGGTTCTAGTCCCCGCTCAGCCATGGAGCCAACTGGGTGACTTTGGGCCAGTCACAGACTCTTAGCCCAACCTACCTGACAGAGTTGTTGTTGTGGGGATAAGATGGAGGAGGAGAATGATGTAAGCTGCCTTGAGCCCTTTGTAGGAAAAAGGCAGGGGAGAGAGAGAGAGAGAGAGAGAAAGAGAGAAAGAGAAATATGAAGTACATTGGCAACAGTTTCAAACTCTAAATTGCTTAATTGAGAGCAACAGAAAGACTGGCCCCTGAATTAGATTGCTGTAACGAAGAAACTGGGTGTGGCAGACTGTGAGCATTCTGCCACATTTTAGTACTTCAAAACATCCCTGGGCCCAGAATTCTTTCATTTTAAGTGTATATGCTGCACATCAGGCTCCAGTTGGTGGCTCATAGGGTTCTACTGAAAAGAGGTAGATCTTTAAGTCTGAAGTCTTCTCAGTCCTGAAATAGAAAGTTATAGCATTTCCACCATCATATAGGTTCCCATTCCCACCTGAAACATGTAACTCTACAGTGTATCACATACAGATCTGGATAACAAGGTTTCTCTGCTCTATACTTTTTGCTGTGATCTCTGAAAGGCAATAAAAAGATGTTAACATATTTTAATTACAATTTATGAGAATTTTTTTGGCTGGTATAACAATGTCACAGGGATGTCATTTCAAAAGTTGTGGACATGTTAGCTGAATTCACTATCCGGATTATGTCCCATCCTACAGGACCACCTACCCCAACCTGTTATCTTTGAGATGTGTTGCACTACAGATCTATCATCCCAATAGCATGACCAAAGGAGAGTATATCTTAGAAGGTGAAGCAAAGGCAGGGAAGAACTTCAGGAGAAAGCATCACAAAAGACTTTATGAATGCAACCTGCTTCCCTTAGCAAACAGTGTGAAAGGTGGTTTGAATTGGTTGTAAATAACATCTCTTTTCCCACGGAAGGTGCTATTGAGCATCCAAGAAACTCTTTGATCTATCAGGGAGTTGCAGACCAAGACCCTTTATACTATAATTGGTCTAATTCATATTGGATTGCGTAGGTTATCCTCTGAAGAATGATGCTACTAATTTTTTTTTTTAATGTGACCGATCAACAACATTTGAAGGGTGATTCTTGGCCTACCCAAAGGTTGAGGCTAGATGATCTCATTGCCTAGAATCCCACTAGCTCTCCCTGCCCCCTGACTTCTCCTTGATCCCAGTTCAGAAGGGACAACTCTTTTTCTGCCCTTTGTCAGTGTTGGTGGCAGGGAGCCACAATTCACACCCAGGTACTAACCACAGCTCTGAATCATCAAAGCCTCTTAGCTCCTGCAGAGAAGGGATTTTTACAACTGACAGGGGTGGGCAGTTGGGCAACCAGGTGGCAAGTCAAGTGAAGAGGTGGGAGTGAAGGCATGCCTGCAACTTTCCTAGCCCTCAATGGAGCCCCTGCCCAGTATTTTATTGGGGGAGGGGGGCCTCATTTCAATCCTGATGGCTGTAATCCTCTTTTATAATAGATTTTTTTCCAAGAGATTTGGAAGAAGAGAGATTGGGCCTCTGTGAGAAAATTCACAGTGCCAGATCACACATACTTGTCAAGTCATTAGGCACTAGTTGTATTTTCACTGCATCATGGGCCTCTCCTCCCCAGCTCTTCAATGGACAGCTCCCCACACATGCTGGAGTAGTGATGTTTTACTGGCAGCGCAGGCTACATGGATATTGCAGCAGGTCAGGACACACACCCCTCCCTCAGGTCTGTATCAGAAGACGCATCCCACAATTATTTGTTTTTGATGGCCAATGCTCAAGACTGCGCTGAAAGAACATGGCCATGCAAACCCCGCCTCTTCAGCTGAGAGTTTTCTCAGCAAGTCCACCCATTCACACTCTTCCATTTTTTTCCTTTTACAGTAGGAATAGCCATGTTTGGCATTTAATGAAGAAAAGTGGGGGTATTTCCTGAGCCTAATTGCCTAATAATGAGATATAACATTAAGAAAAATAATCATCTAATATTCAAAGACAGGGTCAACACGGGGTTAACCAGTACCACCTTCCAGGCCAGGGTTGAGGAACAAGTAGCCTTTCCAGTGTTCTGAATAACAAGTTCTATTAGCCTAGCCAATAAGGCAGAGATTTTGGAAGCTGCAGTCCAAAAGCAACGGAAGGCCCACACATTCCCTGTTGCTGCTCTAAATTTTGCTGTCAGTGATCTCACTTCTTCCCCTCAGCGAAGCATTTACAATCAAGGCATTTCAGCTTGTTCATAGCCAATAGCAGCTAAGCTCGCAGCACTAGCTATTTGCTCCAGAATGGTTCTGTTTGCTTGGTCAAGCATAGGGTAAACAGCACGTGTATCCTACTCCTTTTATGAAATATACCCGTATTTCCTTTTGAATTGTATTTGTATTTCCTTTTGGTCTGAATCACACAAATCAAGGGCTACTCATTCCAAGGAAACCAATGTGGTGTAGTGGTTAAGTGTGTGGGACTGGAACTGAGGAGTTCTGGGTTCTAGTCCCCACTCAGCCATGGAGCCAACTGGGTGACTTTGGTCCAGTCACAGACTCTCAGGTCAACCTACCTCACAGGGTTGTGTTTTTAGGGATAAGATAGAGAGCAGGAGAAGACTTCTGTTAGCTGTTTTGAGTATGTTGTAAGGAAAAAGTGGGATATCCATCTAATACATAAAGAAACAAATCACTATTTTAATTTAAACCCAAACCCTAACTTTTCTTTAGAGTAGTTTCACTAGCTGTGTTCCAAGAGGTATAGTATGCAGGAACATACCTTTAACCAGCCCATGTGTGGTCTTCAAAATCCAAGTGAACACAAGCATAGGAGACACTAAGGCAGTTTAGAAGAATTATATTTGTTTACTTTGGATCAAGATTTTACTGATGTTTATAAAAATTAAAAGGTAACCAGTTTTTTCCCCCCTCTTCTCCACTCTAGTATTTGTAATCTGTGTAATCTCAATCAGTCCATGAACAAGTTGAGATTGGAACTGGGCTTTTAGCTGCACACCAGCTCTTTAAATTGCACTGCTTAAACATTTGAAAAACAAGCTGAACCCACCAATCTGCCCCTGTGCCCTTGGTAGCTACCAGATTCCCCTAAGTCTGGTAGTGGCACAAGCAATTTTATTAAGCCTGCAGATAAGCTTCCTGCCATCACAGTTCAGGTCATCTGCTGTGCATGCAATAAGGGGGTCCTCTTGTGGTCAATGTCCATAATGACATACATAAGCCCCTTCTACTTTTAACTATACCTCCTTTTCAAAGCCAGGTGCTTTGTGTGATGCTCTTAAATATTCCTCTGTTGTATAGGTAGTCCTAAATATAGCAGTAGTTGATTACCTATCAAATAGAACTGCTGAGATCTTACTCCCCTTATACCAATCTTTGGTACCACTGCACTTAGAATATTGTGTTCAATTCAGGTCACCTTACCTGAAAAAGTACATTATCGAGTGGGAAAAAGTACACAGAAATGATCAAGGGGGCAGGACTACTCCCCTTTGAGGAGTGACTACAACAACTGTGACTGTTTAACTTTGACAAAAGTCAAGTAAGTGGAGAAAGGATAGAGGTGTTTAAAATAATGCAAGGTGTGGAGAAAGTTGAGAGGGAGAGATTTCAGATCATGTTACTTTTTTTACCCTTCTTTTCATTGGCTTCCTTTTTCATTTTAGGCTTCTACTTACTTCAAAATGTTTTTATGCTGGGTTTCCCCCATCATCCTTTCTCTTTCAAACCTTCGCTCTACAGGTACAAATTGTCTTGTTAAATGATAAGCAGAAAACATATTTTTACATGGAAATGTTCAAGGCAAAGGCTTGCTGGTGGGAGGAGGAAGACCACCAAGGAAAATGTTACAGCAGCCAGTGAGAAAAATAATGACAGGATGGATGAAAATTATCAGAAAAGGTTGAATTCATAATCATAAAAAGATAGATGTCTGTCCATCTGTCAGCACCATCATGCCAAACCCATGCAACCTAGAATCCTGGCAGGCTTATTAAGGGGAGTGTAGAAATATGCACCTCAGGATTATTTTCCTTCTAAAAAGGCATTAATTGATTATGAGATTGGGGGGGGGGGAGAGAATTATACACCTGTCTCCTCCCCACCTGTCCTCCAGGGGAGTATACAGACCCCTCTCTTAGAGGACTGCAAGGGACTGCCACAGCAGGGGCTGTGACTGGGGGTGCCAATGGCCACAGGTTCATTCAAGTGGAGCCGAGCTGATGTGCCCAACTCTTAACAGTTGTGTAAGTTTGCTTAAAGGGTTTGCAAAATCAGCTTGAAGGCTATTCCAATCCAGGTCTGTCCACTAGTTCTAAAAAAAACTGGGTGCTTACTATTTTCCTTCACACAGTGAGGTTCTCTTGAAGAGCTGAGCACAGGGCTTCAAAACCACCCCTAAATAGATACCTGCAACTCTTTCTCCCCAATTCTTTTTGTAGCCAATTAAGATAAGAGGGCCAAAGTTCTAGGAGCAACTGTTTCTGCACTCAGGCTGGGCAGGGGAAGACACAGCAACAGCAATGAGGAGGAGGAAGAGCAGCAGCAGCAGGGCGAGGCAGCGACAAAGGCCCCAGTCAGTGTCCCCCCTGTAGGAGTGTGGGCCTTGGCAAGTG